CACACACACACACTGTCCTCAGGTCTGGTTTAATGACCCTAGTGATGTTCTCCCAGGTCTCTCCCCTTCTACCTTCTCAGCATGCCACAGTTGCTGATTTACTTGCCTCTCTCCCCAACTCTGTCAAGAGCTTTCTGAGAGCAAAGATATATTGTCTGCCAAATCCACAGCACAGGAATGGCAATTAACGATCGTTTTTTAAAAGATGCATCCTTGACACCCAGGTCCTCAAGCACACTGCCTATGACTCACTCTCTGTCAGGGAAGAATGATAAGTTTGACACACAGAAAAAGGATCAGCATGAGACAATGGTAATAAGAAATGAGGAAGCAGTTTTTATTCACTTGCCCCTTGGGTCTGTGGCCACACATTCAGTCATCTGGAATTCTTGGCTAATGGAAAGCATAGTTCCCCTGGGGACTGGTCCATTATTTCAAGTCTCACCTCCTATGTGCCCCGTGGGATCCCTGAGAGCTGAGAGCATGGCAGGGTCAGCTTCTTGGGAAGAGACAGCCCTGTTCATGAGAAGCTGCAGCAATGAGCAAATGTCTGGCTGGTCTGATGAAGAGGTACAGCAGACTCTGAGCAAAGAAGGAAGGGAGGGCACAAAAAAATGGGTAACCTGCTAATTCAGAAGGTTCTTTGCACCAGCACTCTGAAGAGATGGTGGGGAAGGGTACAGAGTTGTATCCATCCTTGACCCATTTTCTCACCTACCATACTATGGTATATATGAATCAGCATGTCCCAAAATGTAGTACATCTTTTCCCACTTAGCAATAAGATGTTATACTGGCCTGAGAACTGGCTTCAAGGCAGTGCTGAAGTGCTATAGATGTTAAAATAAACAACATGCTTTTCAGGATGAACCATATTATTTTGTCATGAAAAAGCTACTTAACTACTGTAAGTGGAGCTACTTAAGTGCTAAAAGTAGATCAAACACATTTTCACAATTTTTTCATTACAGGAAGGACACATTTCCATCACATTTCAGTCCTATGGAGAAAAAACGTGTCTCTGTACCTTGCTGACAAGAAGGCTCCAGAATCCTCCATCTGAGAAGCAGCATATCTTTACTAGGATGGGTATTGTTTGTAAATTCAGTAATTTCTAGGCTACATTTGGAGAGGCAACATTAGAGATTCATTTGGCATAGCTCCAGTAACATGGATGCTATGTCTCCCATATTGCCCATCTCACTTATTGACGTAGAAAGTAGACTTAGACATACCTCAGAAGGTAGGCTGTGTCTATAATCTGAAGAACACCCCCAGCCTTTATAGCTAGTTTTCAGAAGCACTGGTATAGCAAGTTGAAAAAAAGATAGACACCTTTTAAAAAAATCTGCTGATGGTGATCAGAGCATTTTAGTTAGATCTCTAAAAAACAAGGCTGCATCTTTTTGCTGTGTGTGAAGTTTTCTTTTCAGGGTAATTTTTAACTTACAAAGATATGACAGTTTACTTGAAAGTGGGAACTCTACTTCTGGTGCTCAGGAGCACTGGCAGAAGCAGAAAGCCCCTCAGCCCTCCGGATTTTAGAAGATGAGGTAGAGTATGACAGAGTAGGCCAGCAGTGGTGGTGGGAGTTTCATGGTGCTAGACTCAGCTGGAGCAAGAACAAAATTATAGATGTGTTAGATATGTTCAGAGTTTTTCTGAGTTTTGGGGAGTAACTGGTTAAATCTGATGCTTCAAATACTTGACCTGCTTTTTATGACACATTTCAGGCATAGATTTAGCAGACGTAACTTAGGATTTACAAACTTCAGAGAGGCCTGTGGAAAAGTCAGTCCAGTCTCCCAAAGAGAGACCATTTCTCAGCACTAGGATAATACTAAGGAGCAATCTCTGCCTTTGTTGCTGGCTTCTGCATTCAGTGACCAGGATTCAACAGTGTGGTAGGGTTCTGGCTAGTGAAGATGTATTGACTAGCATTGAGGTGTGCATCCTTTTTTCCTGTGCTAGATCCTCAGAATCATCACTCATACCATTAGCCACTTGAGGGCAATTCTTTGGCTGTACAGAAGTTTCATTAATGTTTCCCACAGAGTTTGTACAGACTTTCCTGTCTCCTGTCTCTCATAACTCTTCAAAATTCTTGTTTGGAGCTGATAGGACCATGCCATGCCTCTTTTCAAAGGTAAATTGGTTTTTGCTTGTGATCATGATCATAAATATCTTATTTCACTCATTTGGGCATCGCTGATAAACTGTGGCTGTGTAAGATGTGAAGCCCTTACATAACAAAAGCAACAGAATTTGGAAAAATTAATATCTACTGTATCAAATGGATCTCATTCCCACTGATTCATTCACATGTTCAAGAAAGATGTATCAAGTGCAAACCATATGTCATGGCAGATGCTCCAGGTGCTGGAGATATCATAG